GGATGTCTTCCTTGTTATTTCTGACATGGGCTCTGTGGCACGTATAATTTCGCCCGGTCTGTGTCGCGTGTTATTTCTGCAGCTAAGCAGTGACAGTTGTCACTGGTTGTCGGGAAGATCAGTCGGCTGAGGCGTTGGTGGGCTTGTCAAGTTCGAGCAGCGGCCATTTTGAACGGCCGAAGGGGGAGCGGGGGGAGGGTTTCGCTACAAAAAGGCGAGTCCATTTTTCGCTTGTCTATTCGGAGCGGGTTCCACGGAGTGGTATTTCGCCTCCCTCGCAGATTTTGGAAAGCTTTCCGGATCTACGAGCGGAATTCACCATGAGCCCCTGACACCAATTGCCTGTCGTTTACTTCAAGTTCCTCCATCCACCGCTGCGTGTTAATCAAATTGATCGAAGTGGAGCACTGTCCACATCAAACGTAGAAAGAGGCTTAAAAGACACAAGATGCGAAAGCTGGTGTTTGTGCTTTCCAACCTCAATCTGAATAGGCTTTATCTAACATTCGATGCGGAAATGACTCAAGTGTGGAATCAGAGTAGACGCAATTAACCTACTGCTTTGGAACGTGCTTCTTGTTCGAAAGAATGAATCTAGCCAGCAAATATGCTCTGAATCAGTCGTCAACGTTTAACTTGCACAATTTATAGAAATCATGTTTTGATTTTACTTGAATGGTTAACATGAATTAATAGTCTGTCAATCATGATGTTATATTATTTAAAGGTATGCACTTGCCGGTGCAGTAGTGGATGCTTGATTGTGTATTAGGGGAGCAATGCTTTCGTTGATTAACATCGTGTTCTGAAGTTGACAGAGCAGTTGACGCCGTATTGCTTGGGAAACATGGTTCAGGTGATGTAAAAAATTGCTTCTTTTTAGATGCACGCACACATTACTTTCACAAAGTTCAAACAGCACTAGAATTTATCGCTGCTCTTTCTTCAACGTGTTTTTTTTTACTTATTTTAATATAACCGCGGTTATATATAATATAACCGCGCGACGCATGCCGCACAGCGATAAAATGGTCCATAATTTTTAGTGCAATGAAAGCGGCACCGCCACGGAGAAGGGAGTGCAGTACCATAAGTTCCTGATTCTTCCTGCCCTATACCACTCGTATTTTAGTTTCAGGATAATTTGATTTAGCTAAAATCTCAGTCTTAGAGCCTTTAAAACGTGAATCTTAGAGAAGGGGTTAATAACGGGCTAAACAACTCCATTTATGTTTGTTGTAAATTACTTAAGGAATAATATTAACAAGTCCACAGATACCGCGAACCATGCCTAAAATTATGGTTGAAATTTCGCCTGCAGCTACAGACCATACCTCAATAAAGCATATATGAAAATGCACACTTCCTAAGAAAAAACGCACACAAAAAAGGAAATAGAAACCAGCGTGCCGTCAGCTACCGTCGTCACAGCCTCCACAAGGCGAGCCGGGCGAGTAAGGAAAAACGTCTGCCCTCGGCGTGACGCCACTCCAGTTCGCCGTAAGGTGGCGCCACGCTAACTTCTTGGGCTAATACTTCGTTGCACAATTACGTTTAGTGGTGTTCGTCATGTTTCTGTACGTGTTTTATCATCGCTGAAAAAATCACACACTGAAAAAGCCCAGTGACTTGCACTTTTGACGCTGATATATTTGTTCTATTAGCTCGTAGCGTTGTTTGCGTATAGAAACGCTCTCTTATGGGGAATTTACACCACGTCCGAATACACTAAAAAATAAATGTATTACATTTATATCGTGTATACAGGGTGTTTATTTTAGGCTTTTCACGTCGATGTTTTTTTCTATTTTTTATATGTTAAGGCAGTTTAATAGTGTAGCTTATATGGTGTAGCTATTGCAGTTTAATAGTGTAGCTTATATGGCGAGGGGGAAATAATATAGTAAGGTAAATAATGCCATAATGAGTTAAATATTTAATTAAAATTTCTTGAATAATTTTAACTTCTAGAAATAAACATATTGTGTGAATGAGAAACTTGCTGAGGCGTCATCGTAAGCAACTAAATCAGTAAATTTGAGGAAGAATCGCGGCACGTAGGAAACGCGTTGGTGCGCTAAAGTTACGACTCATGCAATAGGCACAAGGCTGGCGGGGCGAAAACGCGTATGATAATTTTATCATCCCCGTTCATCCTGCGAAATCATCAAAAATCAGCGCATATCGTGCAGCATTGCTTAGAAGTGGGGATGGTTCAGCCGTTTTCACGCATTCGTCCATCTTTTGAAATTTGGGCGAGCGCGCCTCGCCAGGGAACGTTTTGATGACAACCCGGTCCCAAGCTAAATACAGAATATAAAATGCCCGTTAGTACATCCTGGTACTTTGGAAAATAATTCAAAATGAGTCGCTTTTGGGAGAATCAGTCTCAAAGTGGAGGCCGTATTTACGTATTCGTTCACTTTTTTTTTTTTTATTTGGGCATCTGCGTTTTTGCCAAAAACAATTTATTGGGGACGACCCAGTCCTAAACTAAAGGCAGAGTATAAAATGTAGAGCCCTCAAGCACAGCCTGGTATAATGGCAAATACTGCAAAATGAGTGGGTTTTTTTTTTTTAAAAACCGGTCTAAAATTGAGGATGTTTTTAAGTATTCGTTTGTCTTCTAAATTCTGGCACATGCGCCTCATTCAGGATTTTATTTATGTCTGCTGATAACTTAACTTGTTGCGAAATACAAAATTTAGGGTCCTCGACTATAAGCTTCTGACATGGCAAATCCTCTAAAATAAACCATCTTTGAGTAAACTTGTATCTAAGAGGACATGGTTCGACCGTTTTTAGTCATTCGTTCATCATTTGAAATTTCAGCACCCGAACCTTGTCCGGGGACGTTTTGAGCTCAACCGAGTCCTCAACTGCGCACGAAATATAAAATAAAAGGCCACCGACTACAAGCCGGTGCCATTAAAAAATCTTGGTCTTGAGCGCGCTTCGAGGAATGTGATACCAAGTCGAATAGTTTGATACGCTCTTCTCCCGATTTTTTTTTTTTTTTTTTGCTGTTCGCGCGCAGGGCAATTTGGATAATCAATATAATGTAAACATTTTGAATATGCCTATGTATTACTTTTGACACGTGAATGTTAAGTTCACAAGAACAATCATCGACCGGTAAATTATTTGCTCACCGCCGCAGTGCTCACATTCCTTATAAAAAAAATCCCTTTGTTCTACTCACATGACATTACTAGTTAGCGAGAACATTTTGAAAACATTTTTTATCATTCTAGATTATCGTAATATAAAACAGCTTTTTTTTATTGCGAGTTTATTGATGGTCAGTAGCAGAATACTGGTAACTTAACCGTAAACGTCTAAGCGAGATCAAATCCACCTTATTTGGCAAATTGGTCTCAAGAAACCAAGCAAAATATTTTTAGAATAAACAAAATGTACCCAGCACATTGTCCAGTCTACTGGTTTGCTGCAGTCGAATAGCAAATTTTGTACATTGCTGTATTTTTAAATTGTGTTTGTTTGAACTTCGTTGTCTTTTAAACATTTGCGTGCGGCGCCTTCGAAATATATTTTCTATGAAATACACATCTTAGGCACTACAGAATTGGCCATACTATTGGAGAGGGATTCTAATAAATTTATACTATCATAACGAGTTTTTCATACCCAAGAATAGACTGTACAGCTCTTGAATGCTACCAGTAGTGGCGATATATTAAAAAGTTTATTCGAGTGAGCAACCTGCAGTTTACACATAATCATCAAAAAATATTGGCATAGAATAGCCCCATATAATATACTAGAGTAGTAGCATGACAAATTGTTTAAAGCGTAATGTTCCGGTGTTATAACCATATTTTATATTAAATACATGTTCTCCTATGGGAGCGCTGCCATAACCCGCTAAGAGATGGCGCAAGAATACGATGGCACAAGTTTCTGGGGATGTGTGCGTGGCCGGTTGAAACATTAACGTTCAGTGCGCTAGCCATGGCTGCGTCATTTGAGGATACAACGAACCCTTTGTGCAGTACATACAAGCTACTAGGACGACTGTATACGGGACACAGGGACTCCCAACGAAAATGGCAATCGGCATTGCGGCAGCAGCTTCTCCGCCGCCATCGGCTGATTTAGCTTTGCCTCTGACACCTGGGATGAGTTATAATTTTCTGGCATAAGGGTAATCAGACCGGCGATCTTTGATAGGCACGAGCATTATTTATCTTTATTTTTCATAATTGACACTTGCAGAACTGGACAGAAGGAAAAAAAAAAGCGATACGCCGTCCTGGGACGACGCCGACTTCACCACTACAGGATCTTACCGCGAGCACTAATTTCACCACATTATTCTGTTTCAAAACGTACAAACAGATGTCGTTCTGGCTGAGACAGCAAAACAGCTACACGCTTTCACGATTATACAGAATAACGTTCAAAAATGCTAGCCTTAACGCGTTCGATGTGAAACTCAGTGAAAACACGCGCTTCTTGGACACAACACACACACATACACACACTCAAGGAACAGCTACCAGTAATAACTAGAACACTAGCACACACATGTATGTAAAAAATAATAAACTTGCGACGTTCGATGCCGTAAATGCTCGAAACGCACCAGCATAGATGAGGTAAACAAGCACGAAGCACAAACGTGGTTGTGCCGTCTTGAAGCCGCACTAAGACGCCGCCGCTCAGTCAAAGGGTCTCTTCCCTGAGCTTGCTGGTTTACCATTGCGACATGCGACCAGAGTGAAACAAGCCCAGCATAACGCTTCACATAAAAAATGAATTCTCAGCGTGGAGTTTGCTGAGAACGCACGCCAACGCCAAAGAGCCGAGTTTGTTGGAGGATTGCACAATCGCATTTAATCGCGATCGGCATGCAATGCGCACCGACAAGAAGCGGACGCCCTCGTCGGACGGTGCGGGCGCCAGGCCGCGCGGTCCGAGGCTATGCCGGGGACACACTTGAAAAGGTCTACATGTTTACACGAGAACTGTTGTTTCAGATGTCGTCTATCCTGTTCTGATCGAAAGCAGAAGCGACAGCTCACAAGGCGCTGTTCGAGTGACTGAGGATTACATCGTCAACTTAGAGGAATCCAGCGTCTTAGGAGATGCTTTGTTTTTTACCGATACTCTGAATGGGGAGGTGACCCACGAATTGGTAAGAAAAGTCCCCCCCCCCCCTCCCTCAAATGCGAGTTTGAATTTAAAGGGTATTGCTTTAGTTTCTGTTGTAGAAATTAACGAGAGAGCAAAATTGGGAAGTTCATTAATCTTCATATAAAAAAATGTCTCATACAAACTTTATCGTAAAAGTCGACTTTACCTTGCTCTAAATACAAGTAGATGTGGGGTCCTGCAAAGGATAATAAAAATGGCCACATACACCTGACGTGCGTGAAAAACTTCAACATGTTTAAGGGTTTCGAAAATATTTCTACTATTTTTATTAGCGTTTGTTAATGTAGCAAGTATTTTTTCTTACTTACGAAGATCGATTTCTGTTACATTTAGTGGGAGATTTTTTTTTAATTCTACTCTATTGAGATATCGAATCAGTTCGTAGACTCTCACATTGTTCGGAAAACGTAAAAGTCCAGCGCACTAAAACTGTTCAGTTGCTCGAAGCAAGAAGGCAGCACACGCCAAAAGCACTGGAATATATAATGAAAGCTGAAGTCATTTTTATTGAGTGTGACTCGGATCCTTTCAGTAAATAATATATGAAAAGATATGTGCCTGACTAGGCGTATCCTAGTTTCATCTACAAAAGTGCATGACTTCTCATGCCAAAACAAGGAAGTAAAACATACAATTATTAAAAAAGCCGATACATACATATATATATATGTATGTATCATTATGTATCATATGTATTATATTTCACGTACCTGACATAGAATATGTCAAGAAAAGTAAGATCACGGGACTGGTCCAAAATTACGTGTCAAAATATTGTTTAAGTAGGGCATGGTATAACATATTTTGTGGGGAATAACATCGTTATTAAATTATTTGGAAAAAATTAATAGTATCGATGTGAACGAATTTTTTTTTTATTTTATGTTTCTAACATTATATTATTTCCTTTAGATGGATACCACATCCCTACGCAATAGCGTTTATGAAAACTCGGAACACGCAGCTTCTTTTACTATAACTAAAACACCCACGGGGATAGAGATGGTATGAATAATTATTCGTTTTGCCTCCTCAAAAACAATGGGGACTGAGCGACAACTGTAGCAAACAACAAATATTTTATTTTTTTTTTTGCATGCCAGATTTTAGTTAGGTATTTTCGCCTACCACTCCGCTCCTTCAATTCACAAAAATAGCCAATCTGTACTGAAAAAGAAAAGTTTCAATGTACTCGAAAATAAAGTATCCCAGTATTTTTGTTACTTAAATAATTTCACCATTTACGAATTAACTAAATTACTTATCTGATCAGTAACCAATAAATTACTGCAATAATTATTAAATGACAAAAATTACTTCACTAATTACTATGCACACAAATTAGTTAACTAATAAAACATTATTTAAAATATTTTTACAGAGAAAGCTTTATTAACTGTTGGTAGCTGTAAAAGAGGATACTAGTTCATAAATGAATCAAACACTGCATATAGTGGACGACTCTTTAAAAGTCGAATCTTTTTATGCAGGAAGGTTACCTCAATTTTACGCACGGAATTAAGCCCTTAAAAATAAATGACAGATCTGGACGAATTCCTCACAAAATATTTCCCCTTCCGAAGCTTGAGGGAGAGGTTGATCTTGATCGTAAGTACGCTTCTAAAGAATTTTTTGTTAAACATATATGGCAGAAATCGTAACAGTCCTTGCGTGATGCTTGATCTTGTATTAACATTATTAGCTAAACATTCACTTTTAGATCAAATGTGTCATTGCACGTCTGCCACCAACAATATTTAAAACAAAGCACATTGGAAACAAGATCTCAAAATGTCTGCTTTGTTTTATCACGCGGTGCCCTCAATGTAAGTGTTTTTAGAGCGAAGCTCTTAGGGGCTCCTTTCCACGTTGAGAGGCGTCGGCATCATCGCCGGCATAACCGCGCGCGTTGCATTATAGGATGTCACTCTTTCCTCGCTAAATTTAAAGGGGAGACTGAATTGGTGTTGAGGTCATGTGACGACAGTTTTACCGCCAAATTTAGCGGAGAAAGTGAGTGCGCTGTGTTACATTATGGGACGTCAAGGACTTGCACACCAATTCAGTTTCCCCGCTAAATTTAGCAGAAAATTGAATTGGTGTTGAGGTGACGTGACCTTAATTTTCCTGCTAAATCTAGCGGAGAAACTGAATTTGTTCATAGGCGACGGGACACTAGGTCATGTGACGTCATTTTCTCTGCTAGATTTAGCGGGGAAATTGAATTGGTGTTGAGGTCACGTGGCGTCTTTTTTCCTGCTAAATTTAGCAGGGAAGCTGTGGGAAGAGGGGAGGGTATGGAGAAGGAGGAGAGGGTACGCAGGAGGAGGAGGGAAGGTATAGAGGGTTGGGAGGGGAAGGTGCGGAATAGGGGGAAGTGAGAGTACGGAGTATGAGGAGGGGATGGGCACGGAAGAGGAGAAGGGGTGGATACGGATGAGGAGGGTGCGAATGAGGAGGAGCACATGAAAGAGGAGGAGGGTGCACAACCAGAATGTGAGGAAAGTGATCTAGATTTGTACACATATATAGGGTATCATCAAGTCACCAGGCTCGATCTAAAATGGACCTTAAAAATCGACGCCTGCAAGCCGCGGTTTGAACTTTTCTTCAAAGGTGTATTTCACAGGTCGGTATTTTCTTGTAAAATTACAAAGCGTAGCTCTCTTTCTCTAAAAAATAGGGCCAAAATGCTTGCCAGGGTCAACGGCGGCCGGCGATGCAGAGGACCAAGTCGAGTTGCGGGACGCGTTTGGCGAGCGTATTAATAGATAGTGTCGGGAGCAGCGTCCGAATGTGTAGCCGACCAGCGAAAGAAAGCAGACGACACGCAGACGAAATCTGATGGCAGCAAAAGCGCCGTCGTTAAGCTCACGCGTTTTTTCACTTTAAAGGGACCATGAAATGATTTTAAAATCGAATTTCATCCACCGCACGTCGTAAAAGGTGTGAAAAGGAACACAAAAACACAAGACTAGGGAGCCAAAAAAAATTATTTGCTATAGAACTTTTAAAAGAAAACTGGACTCTTTTGCGACTTCTTTCCTTCGAAAGCTCTGCCTTTTCACTACGATGCATACGCAGAATCGGTGCACGTCAGCCGAATCCACATCGCCTATTGGGTAAGAGCCTACCTCACCAGCACCGCGATCGTAAACAATAAATAGCCGGCGAATGTTTCCTAAAAGTTTTGTTAAATAATATTCAGATCCACATTTTGTAGCATAATTAGAGATGTGTGGCGAAAATTGCCAAATTTGATAATGTAGGGAGGCTGTAGTGAGGGTGGGCGCAACTCAAAACCTGGAGAGCGTTTGCAATTTAATGGCGGCGCCTGAGGGAGAGGATTCGAGAAAGGATATGCGCCAGTGTTGCCTGCGAGAGAGCAGGCGCCCGCTCTGTTGCAACTCTGTTGCTCCATGCGCCTTTCCTCCTCTCGCCTCCCATTGCAAGCAACGAGCGCCTTGGCGCAGCCTCTCTCGCTTCCTTCTCGCTCCGAGAATTGCAAACGTCGAGCGGAGAAAGCAAAGTTGCCAGACAAGCAGCAACGTCCAAGATGGTGGAATTTACCATTTTTCGCGTTAAAAAAATACTTAACCTATCGCAACAAAACTGGTGGCTATGGAAACGTGATCATTTATACCTTGTGTAAATTATTCAAGCACCTTAATGGGCTTTTATGACCCGAGTTAGGAAAGAAAACGACCCTTTGCCCCATAGACTCCCAGCAAAATTTAGCAATTAAATGGCGTCCATGTCCCGTGATCGCCGATCTAGCAGTTGCACCCACCCTCACTTGAGCCTCCCTATGATAATGCTGAGAGCCAAGCGCCATCTATCGTGTGGTAAACGAAGCAACTACTGCGCGTGCGCAGTAGGGCAGGGACAAGTTCAGAACGGTTATGGTTATTTCCTTTGGTTTCCTTCCTCTCAAAACTCTGACTGACTGAACGTTTATTTTTCTACGTGTTCATCTCGCGCGTGCCGACTTCAAGCAGCAAGAAAGAAATGTACTTAAAACAAACCACGACGAACAAGAACGCTGGATCCACAAACACCCGAGAAGAGCGACAACAGCCGCGAATCCCGCTCCGACGAAGCTGTCAGAATATAGGCCTAGCAGGCACTCCGACTCGGCGCAGCGGTGCTTCGTCGCAAGACCGTCTGCCTACGACCGGCTGGCGTACTGAATGGAATATGCCCGCGCTACCCTTGTGGACCCTTCCGTATTATAGTTTGATCGCTGACCTCAATTTTAGGTTAAGAGGTGAGGTCAATCTCTTCCCCTTGTTTTCCGAGGCAGTGTTGACGAACACTCGTCGAAAAGGGACCCTCGTCGATCCTCTCCTTGTTTTGTGTGATATAGAGCTGAAATAAACGCTGTATGGATTACCTTCGTAGCACGGTATGTACACTTTGTTATTGGTATGCCATTTTTATTCTGACAGACTGCACGTCACTGTCGAGCTGTAACAGTTCGTGGGAGGTATACGTGCAATACCGGTCCAACCTTTCTTTGCCGAGTGTCGCGTCAGTATCGAGTTGCAATTGTAAAAGATCGGTCCCGAAGCGCTTACCAACAGCGCGAATACAGCACTTCATCAAACGCGCGCGTCCGCTCCGAGTGTGAACAGGTATTTACGTGGCTCTTGCTGACAGTTCAAACGTATCTTTTTTAACGTCGGCTCGCTCCTGCATCTCCGAGACCGCGAAAAACGCCGCGGCAAATTGTTCCCATCTGCACTTCCCAACAGGCATACCGGCGTATGGGACTAGTCCCATGCTGTCGCTGTAGCGCAACGTATCTCATTGAATTTCGTTCAGCTGCGATGCGGCGATGAGAGGCGCCGATTCAGAAAATACGTCGGTGACATCGGCGCAGTAAAACCCACCGGCGCACCCCAACTCGCTAACGCTCCCATCTCCTACTGCAGAGAGAACTTCCGGTTCCGGAAACATCGTACGTCACGGCTTGTTTTGCGGTCAAGAAAAAGTCGATATTTCATTAATTTTTTGTGTAGAAGTTAAAGGGACCATGAAATGACCTTTTTACTTTTTCCAGATAACTTTTACATTAAACCGTCAATGTTCACTGAATGCCGAACAGGCATCCGTTTTCGTCTCAGTTTATTAACTTTTACACAAAAAATTATTGAAATATCGACTTTTTCATTCTCTCCAACTGACCGCAAAAGAAGCCGTGACGTAGACCGTTTCCGGAACCGGAAGTTCTCTCGGCAGTAGGAGAATGGGAGTGTTAGCGGCAACGAGTTGGGGTGCGCCGGTAGGTTTTACTGCGCTGATGTCACCGACGTATTTCCTGAATCGGCGCCTCTCATCGCCGCATCGCAGCTGAGCGAAATTCAATGAGATATGTTGCGCTACAGCGACAGCATGGGACTAGTCCCATACGCCGGTATGCCTGTTGGGAAGTGCAGCGAGTCTTGTCACCACCCCGTCATTGTTGGCAGAAGGGCCGGCCCGTGTCAGTCGTTTGCAAAGCGACGTAGATGGCGTTTTTCGCGGCCTCGGAGATGCAGGAGCGAGCCGACGTTAAAAAAGATACGTTTGAACTACGAGTGTCAGCAAGAGCCACGTAAATACCTGCTTACACTCGGAGCGGACGCGCGCGCTTGATGGAAGTCTTGTATTCGCGCTGTTGGTAAGCGCTTCGGGACCGTTCTTTTACGATTGCAACTCGATACTGACGCGACACTCGGCAAAGAAAGGTTGGACCGGGGTCGACACGTGCAGTCTGTCAGAATAAAAATGGCATACCAATAACAAAGTGTACATACCGTGTTACGAAGGCAATCCATACGGCGTTTATTTCAGCTCTATATCACACAAAACAAGAAGATAGAATCGACGAGAGTCCCTTTTCGACGAGTGTTCGTCAACACTGCCTCGGAAAACAAGGGGAAGAGATTGACCTCCTCACCTCTTAATCTAGAATTGAGGTCAGTGATCAAACTATAATACGGGAAGGGTCCACAAGGGTCGCGCGGGCATATTCCATTTAGCACGCCAGCCGGTCGTAGGCAGACGGTCTTGCGACGAAGCAACGCAGCGCCGAGTCGGAATGCCTGCTACGCCTATACGCTTCGTCGGAGTCGGTGAATCCAGCGTTCTTGTTCGTCGTGGTCTGTTTTAAGTACTGTTTTCTTGCTGCTTGAAGTCGGCACGCGCGGGAAGAACACGTAGAAAAATAAACGTTCAGTCAGTCAGAGTTTTGAGAGGAAGGAAAACAAAGAAAATAAATGTTCGTCGGTCGCCGTCACCCAAGTAACTGGCGGCCCTGCCCTACTGCGCACGCGCAGTAGTTGCTTCGTTTACCACACGATAGATGGCGCTTGGCTCTCAGCATTATCAAATTTGGCAATTTTCGCCACACATCTCTAATTATGCTACAAAATGTGGATCTGAATATTATTTAACAAAACTTTTAGGAAACATTCGCCGGCTATTTATTGTTTACGATCGCGGTGCTGGTGAGGTAGGCTCTTACCCAATAGGCGATGTGGATTCGGCTGACGTGCACCGATTCTGCGTATGCATCGTAGTGAACAGGCGAAGGAAGGAAGGCGCAAAAGAGTCCAGTTTTCTTT